CTGTTTTGGATTTCTATCGGAGGGGGGGCTCTGCAACTTACCTGGCTGCTTCTTGCTCTGACGGAGGGCTGCTGGGAGCAGGGGGTGGGGCTTGTTGCATGTGCCCACCCCCTGGGCTCTTTACTGCCGGAGCTCTGCTCCTGTGTGCTCCTGCAGGAAATGACCCCTGCTGATATTGATTTTAACTGTTAGCTAAAAAGTTAACTGCAGAATTACTCTGTGTGGGGCGGGGGAGAGGAGAGGGGTAAATTCAATAGTCTTTTTATTCTAAACGAATGTGGCAGACATATAAATTTCTCCCTCATTGAACAAACCTGGTCTGAATGGTCAAAAAGACTGCTGACTGACCACCTTTTTGTCTGTACAGGGTGACGTTGCCAGCAGTAGGATGTTGACAAACAGTGCAGCTTCTGAAAGGGGAGTAAAAGGCTGGTTTGGCAGAAAGAAAACCCTGTCATGGGGCCTAGGGACGGAAGTGGCCGCACACACGCCCCTGAGGGTTTTTAAAGAGTGTTGGGCGGGTTGGAAAGCTGAGAAACACAGGAGGATCAGGTCTTAAGAGTCTGAGGGCCACACAGCCAAAACAGATGGCTTCGGGTTGCCAACTCCAGGTTGGGAAATTCCTGGGGAATTGGGGGAGTGGAGCCAGGGGGCAGGGTATGGGGAGGGACTTCGGTGGGGTACAATGCCATAGATCCCACCCTCCAACGCAGCCATTTTTTCCAGAGGACCTGATCCCTGGAGTCTGGAGATCCGTTGTAATTCTGAGAGACTGGCAAGCCTAGGCTCTTCCCAGAATTCTCTCTTCTCTCTCGCTCTTGAAGGTACAGGAGACGGGCTGCCCTTCCCTGAAGCTCAGGGTGTTCCTTGTTTCTGCCTGAGCAGACGATGATTCCGACCTCCTCTGCTGCTCTTGTGTTCCCTCAGGAGAGAAGCTTTGAGTGCAAAATGTGCGGGAAAACCTTCAAGCGGTCCTCGACCCTGTCCACCCACCTCCTGATCCACTCAGACACGCGGCCGTACCCCTGTCAGTACTGCGGAAAGCGCTTCCACCAGAAGTCGGATATGAAGAAGCACACCTACATTCACACGGGTGAGGGAAAGCCCAGCGCACGGAGGTGGGGGAGAGGAAAGCGCGCTAGAGGAATGTGCCAAAGTTTGAGTCCAGTGGCACCTTTAAGACCAACAAAGTTTAATTCTGGGTATAAGCTTTCCTGAGCATGCACCTGAAACTAGAGGAATATGTCGCAGACATGGCGGGCGTGATATACTGCAGCCCCCCCAAAAAAACAGCCACAGCAACCAGAAGACAGGGGGCAAAACATGACAGTCGCTACAGTTGTGTTGGTCTGAAGCAGTAGAACAAAGTTCGAGTCCAGTGGCACCTTTAAGACAAACAAACCAGTCACATGGGCCAGATAACGAGGGGGGGCGTGGCTGTCCCCGATCACACGGTCCCCCCGAGTCTCCGTGCTTAGGCTGTTAGCTGGTGATCACACGGGCGATGCTGCAGCATGGCAAAGAAGCGACGCAGCGCAATCACACAAGCGTTTCGTGTTTGTGTACATGTGCAGTTCCGTGAAGCAGCACTGCTTTCAGTTTCGTGTTTGTGTGCATGTGCTTACGAAAAACATCCGGTTTGCAACGGGACGTGGACGGGCGCCGGATGCCACGGGATACTAGCGCTCCCGCGATCAAACGCCTGCCTGTGCCACGCATTTTCCGATACTAGTGCACTTTCCTTGGTACTTGTTAACTCCGCATCTTCGGCGGGACGCCACGGGTTGGCCACAGGTGTGCTACGCTTCCCAGATGCTGCGCTGTGATCGCGCCCCGAAAATCCACCCAACATTCGTGCCTTTCGCGCGGCAAATTCTCCGTGTGACCGGGGCCAAAGTTTTATTCAAGGTATAAGCTTTCGTGTGTATCTGAAGAAATGTGCCTGCGCATGGAAGCTTATACCTTGAATAAATCTTTGTTGGCCTTAAAGGTGCCGCCGGACAGGAACTCTGTTCCGCTGCTTCAGACCAACACGGCCCCCCACCTGAGTTGGCTGACATACGATAATTTGTTAAAACACTGTTTTAGTTGAAATTAAATCAAAAGAATTTCCAGCTAGACATTAGGAAGAACTTCCTGACAGTTAAAGCTCAGTGGAACTGGCTTCCTCAGGAGGCGGTGGGCTGTCTTTCTTTGGAGACTAGATGAACTTCTGAGAGCCGTGCTGATTCTCTGAACTGGCAGGCTGTGAGAGGGAGGGCAGGAAGGGATGAGCCAGTGCCCGCCCTTTGTGGCCCTTTCTTATATCCCAGGGTAATGCTGGTTGCCACTTTGGGGTCAGCAGGGCTATTTTTGGGCAGGAACGCACAGGAACGGAGTTCCGGCTGGCTTCAGAGTTGGACACGCTCACTACAGCCAAAACCTCTGCGTGCCTGTCTACAGAGGGGAGGCCTGGAGGGCGACAGCCCCCCCCCCCGGTGACTCCAAGGCGGGCGGGCCAGTGGGGGCCCTGGAAGGATTGGGGAGGCATTTAAATGCCTCCCCATGCCTTACCTGGCCTGTCCAAGGGCCGGCTTGCCCGGGCTCCCCACAGCCGTGGGGCGCCCAGGCTAGCCAAGGGATGGCAGTTTAAACTGCCTTCCCTTCCCTTCAAGAGGCGGCTTGAAGGGATGGGGGTGTGGCCTAATATGCTAATGTGCTGTGCTGTCAGGGGTGTGGCCTATGGCCTAGCCGCCCCACAGCCGCGGGGCGCCCAGGCAAGCCAAGGGATGGCAGTTTAAACTGCCTTCCCTTCCCTTCAAGAAGCCAAGGGAAGGGATGGGGGTGTGGCCTAATATGCTAATGTGCTGTGCTGTCAGGGGTGTGGCCTAATATGCGAATGGCTGTCTGCTGTTGGGTGTGGCCTATTATGCTAATGGGATCCTGTAGGGCTTTTTCTACAAAAAAAGCCCTGGGGGCCAGGAAGGAATTTTCCTTAAGGCCAGATTGGCCCAGGGATCCTGGAGGGGTTTTTTTTGCCTTCCTTGGGACATAGAGCAGAGGTCACTGGGGGAGTGTGGCGGGAGGTAGTTGTGAATTTCCTGCACTGAGCAAGGGTTGGGCTAGATGACCTTTGGGGTCAGTGGTCCCTCTAAGCTGAGTCAGTGTGAGCTAGCTCACAGTTTTTGAGCCTCCAGCTCATGCGTTTTCGTCTACGCTCAGGAAGGACAGCTCCGGAGCAAACCAATTTATGCAGCAGACAAATCGCTCGCTCACAACTTTAATGCCAGCAGCTCCCAAAAGTAGAAGTTTTGCCCTCAGGATTCCACAGCTTAGAGGGAGCATTGTTTGGGGTCCCTTCTAGTTCTATATTTTCTGGTCTGGAAATGGTTACTTCTAAGCTGTTAGCGGTCTGTTTTTATGGTCTATGTTTTTTATGCTGGGCTGGGTGTTTAATGCAGGATTTTCAATTAATATCTATCAAACATTTTGCTTTTAATATTTTTATTGTAATAGGGACCTCAGACAGGTCCCTGGAGAGGCGGCATAACTTTTTTCCTCAACCCAATCAATCAGTATAATAAAACACACTTCAGCAGCTGTGGGACAGGTGGAAATTCAATTTAGCTGCTGTGGCTCAAGTGGTCAAGACGCTGAACTGCGGGCTGTGGAAGGTCGGTAGTTCAGCAGTTCGAGACCCAAGTGTGCCGCATGACGGAGTGAGCTCCCATCTCTGGCCCCAGCTCCTGCCAACCTAGCAGTTCAAAAGCAAGGAATTGCAAGTAGATAAATAAGGACCACTTCGGTGGGAAGGTAACAGCATTCCGTGCGCCTTGGTGTTTAGTCATGCCGGCCACATGACCACGGGAATGTCTTCGGACAGTGCTGGCTCTTCGGATTTGAAACGGAGATGAGCACCGCAACCCTAGAGTCGGACTCGACTGGCTTTTGAGCAAGGGAGACCTTTACCTTTACTTTTTAGAATTGGTCACCCCCTGCAGCTGTCTCCCATCAACCAGCAAGTTCGCCCCCTGAACGTGTCATTAGCTCTGCTAATAGGATTTCGACCATTTGCCCAAGTTGCCGTGAAGAAGTTCTGGAGATCAGGAGAGGTTATTCTACTCCTGGCTTAACCTGGGGATTCTGGTGTTATTTTGAGATGCACCCCCAAACGGCGATGTGCGGACAGAGTGCAGAGTTGCGCATCTGCTTGGCATGCAGAAGATTCCCAGGTTCACTCCAGTTAAAGGGAACAGGTGACGTAAAAGACCTCTGCCTGAGACCCTGGAGGGCCACTGCCAGGATGAGTGGACAAGGCTGTCTTTGATGGACTGATGGTCTGGTTCAGTATAAGGCAGCTTTGTGTATTCGGTGTTGCTGTCCCGCCTGCGTTACACTGGCCCACCTCCATTCTGCTGTCATGAGCTGAAACACCAGTCACGTTTACCCACAATCCACAGGGGGTGGGCTTGAACACACACGCCTGGTGATGGGCCAGGCTCAAGAGCTGAGTGAGCCGAGCAGAGGTCATTTCGGGGGGGATCGCAGTTCCCCCGGGTGAGGTACGGGGGGGGGCACATGACGAAGCCCCGCCCCCTGCTTCCGGCCACCTCGCTTCCGGCCCTCATTCAGCCAGGAGGAGGCAGGAGAAGAGGGAGGGTAAGTTGCTTCCTCCCTGCCTCTCCCCACCCCTGCCTGCCTGGGACCAGTGTGGCCTTATGACACACCTCCGGTGATGTCAGGGGGTGTGGCCTTATGACAAACTTCCGGTGATGTCAGGGGATGTGGCATATGCTAATGAGCTATGCTAATGAGTCCCCCTAGCTCTTTTTCTACGAAACGACCCCTGGAGCCAAGCCCCTGGATACATCACAGCTTTCCTCATTGGGCTGCCCCAAGCCATTGTTTGGAGCCTTGCCAACTCCGGGTTGGAAAATTCCTGGAGATTTGGGGGTGGAGCCCAGGGAGGGTGGGTTTGGGGAGGAGAGGGACCTCAGTGGGGTATAATGCAATACAGCCCACCCTACAAAGCAGCCATCTTCTCCAGAGAACTGGCCTCTGTAGTCTGGGAATCATTTGTAATGCCAGGAGATCTCCAGGGCCCCCCTTGAGGCCGGGAACCATATGTCATTTGAGTGGCTTGGCGGGAGAACTGGCTTTGTTCTGGTTTAGGGTTGCCATCCCCCCGATGGGGGCAGGTTTCGGGCCCTCAAATCTGCTGCTGAAGAGCCCTGCCATACCTGATGTGCCTGGCACGGTGACATCACACAGAGGTGACGTCATCACACCGGGCACGTTGCGGGGGGACACTCTAGCATTCAGATAAAAACTCTGTGGTAACCATAGAGTTTTTGGGCAAATGCTAGAGCGTCCCCCTGCCTTGTGCCTAGCGCTATGATGTCACTTCTGGGTGATGTCATCAGAGGGCACATGCACCGTGTGTGCGCAGGAACATCCAGGAGAGCGGGCTGGAGCTCCCTGCTGGCAAAAGGCCTGGCAGCCCTATTCTGGTTCCACTTTTGACCCAGCGAGTTGTCTTTCCTGAGTGGCACCACCTCAAAGGCCAACACCTTTGAAATCTAAAGTCGGCATCCTTCAGTAGGGGACGACGTGTCACGATGCTTTTCCCTTCCTTTTTAAAGCAGCCGTTTTGGGATAAAGCCCATCCTGCTCTTTCAAAAGCACCACAGTGGTCACGAGAGACGTTTCTTTGTTGTTTCCTTCCTCTCTGCCCAGGAGAGAAGCCGCACAAGTGCCAGGTGTGCGGCAAAGCCTTCAGCCAGAGCTCTAACCTCATCACCCACAGCCGCAAGCACACCGGCTTCAAGCCCTTCAGCTGCGAGCTCTGCGGGAAAGGCTTCCAGCGCAAGGTGGATCTGCGGCGACACCGGGAGAGCCAGCACAGCCTCAAGTGAGAGGGGCTTCGGGAGAGTCCGCCGGCCGACCTAGTGAGCCTGCAAAGACAGGAGGGGGGACCTGCGCAGCACCTTTCAGCCTTCTCCTCAACACGACTAGAGAGGGAGAAAGGAGCTGATCTGACAGGCCTTCAGAGCTAGGGTTGCCAGCTGCAGCGATTGCAGTTCATCTCCGGACTGCAGAGATCAGTCCCCCTGGAGAACATGGCTGCTTTAAAGGGTGGAGTCTATGCCAGTGGTGGCGAACCTATGGCACGGGTGCCAGAGGTCGCACTCAGGGCCCTCTCTGTGGGCACGCGCGCCATCGCCTCAGCCAGGCCCAGCCAATGTTCCCTCTAAGCTGTGGAGTCGTGTAAGCAAAAATTAGACTGAGCTACCGGCGTTAAAGTTGCGAGCAGGTGATTTGGCTGCTGAATAAATCAGTTTGCTCTGGAGCCCTCCTTCCGGAGCCAAGGCCAAAATGTCTGAGCCGGAGGCTAAAGAACTGTGAGCTAGCTCACACTAACTCAGCTTAGAGGGAAGACTGGGCCCAGCCCATCGTTAAAGTGTCAAATTCTCTGCCAAATAATGTTAAGTAAATGAAAGCATTTGGGATTGCTTTCCTTACTTTGTTTGGATCATCTTAAGTTAATGTATGAGTTGTTTTTTCTAAAGTAAAACCTCAGTATTCAGGTTAAATTGCCGCGTTGGCACTTTGCGATAAATAAGTGGGTTTTGGGTCGCAGTTTGGGCACTCGATCTCTAAAAGGTTCGCCATCGCTGCTCTAGGTCTTCAATTCCTGGGTGCAGCAGCGAATTGGACTAGATAAGTCTGTAAGACCCCTTCTTGCTCTAGAAAACTGTGACTCTAGACCAAGGAGGGGTTTTTTTTTTACCCCGAACAAAATTTTTGCGGTATTGCGCATAAATATTACAAAATGGACATAGGAGAAGCCATGTTGGATCAGGCCAGTGGCCCATCCAGTCCAGCATTCTGTGTCACACAGTGGCCAAAAAACACATCCAGTGTTCCCTCTAAGCTGAGTTAGTGTGAGCTAGCTCACAGTTTTTTAGCCTCTGGCTCACAGATTTTTGTCTTAGCTCAGGAAGGAGGGCTTCAGAGCAAACTAATTCATGCAGCAGCCAAATCGCTCGCTCACAACTTTAATGCCAGGAGCTCACCAAGTAGAATTTTTGCTCACAGGACTCCACAGCTTAGAGGGAGCCTTGGTCAGGGCCTCGGACACAGGCCGTTCATAGCCCACCCCTGTTTGCGACCCCCTTCCCAGCAATTTCCCCCCTCTCTCGGTTGTGGCTGTACTGATGGGACTAGTGCGTGAATTTTTCGCTGTTCTTTTTAGCCTCACCGTTGCCAACGGGTTGAAAAGGGGACAGTCTTATCTCGCAGGGGACTCTCAGAGGTGCCTGGATGAGGCGGCGGACAGCGCTTTCCCAGGAGGGTTGCCAACTCCAGACGGGGAAATTCCTGGAGATTTGGGAGCGCAGCTTGCAGAGGGTCAGATTTTGGGAAGGGAGGGCCCAGCAGGGGTGCGATGCCATCCATCCAATCTCTGGCTGATTCTGCATTGGCTTTTCCCTCTGCTGTTTCACGAAACCCACGTTGGAACAGAAATTCCCCTCTGCATTGCATGCTGTGTTCACTTCCTTTGATTATCGGATTTTAGGGTAGCCTCCACACTCCACGCTGCTTTCACTCTCTTTGAGGTTTTATTGTATCTTCTGCATAGATTTATGGCCGTTTTATGGCTGTTCGGGTGTGACCTTGCAGTCAGTATGGCGTAGGGCTGCCAAGTCCCCCCGGGGAGCGGGGAAACCCCCGCCCCAGAGGCCCGTTCCCCGCTGCTGGCGGATCGGGCCCCGGGGGGAACCCCACCCCGGCGTGTGCGTCACCAGGAAGTGACGTCATGACTCTGGGGGCAGGGCCATGACCATCCGAGGGGGAAACTCTATGTTTTCCCCTTGGATGGTCATGGCCCCGCCCCCAGCGTGCCCGGCGTCATAACGTCACTTCCTGGTGACGTGCGTGCGGTGCGCGCGCACTTTGCGTGCACACACGTGTATAGGACACCGGACGGGAGTCCCCCGCTCCCAATGATTTTCGACTTGGCAACCCTAGTATGGCGTTGTCCTGAGGTATTTGGATGTGGTTTTGAGCTGCACTTTCCCCTCCCCATTTAGAAAATGTGGAGCCAATGCTAGATGCAGAATCGCCCTCTGAAGCTGCCATATCCTCCCAGGGAACTGATCTCCATAGTCTGGAGAGCAGCTGTAATTCCAGGAGATACCAGGCCTGGCCCGGAGGTTGGCAGCCCCATTTCCCAGCATGCCTTAGGGCACCTGACAGAAACATGTCCGTTCAACCCGGCAACTACCAGGAACGTGGGGGCGTGGCGTCGAAGCGCTGGAGCATGGACGCCTAAATCCGTCCCTGGAGAAAATGGCTGCTTTGGAGGGTAGACTTCATGGCATTATACACTGCTGAGGCCCCTCCCCTTCTCCAACCCTGCCCTCTCCAGGCTCCATCCCCAAAACACCAGGATTTCTCACCCCAGAGCTGGAAAGCCTAGGATCCTGTGTTAGCAATTCCCAAGGCCTTCTTACAGAACTCCAGAAAGAGCAACTGTGACGCCTGTAAGTCTCCAGTGTGGCTACACTCCACAAAGGTGATTGTATGAGCAGCCTGTTGTCCATCAAGCGGCTTAGCAGCTACGGGATCAGGGCCGGCTCACCCACTAGGCGAACTAGGCATTCGCCTACAGTTTGGGGCCCTGTTTGGCCAGGATCCAAGAGGGTTGCCAACCTTCAGGGGAGGCCTGGAAATCTCCTGGAATGACAACTGATCTCCAGATGACAACTTTCCCTGGAGAAAATGGCTGCTTTGGAGGGTAGACTTCATGGCATTATACACTGCTGAGGCCCCTCCCCTTCTCCAACCCTGCCCTCTCCAGGCTCCATCCCCAAAACACCAGGATTTCTCACCCCAGAGCTGGAAAGCCTAGGATCCTGTGTTAGCGATTCCAAAGGCCTTCTTACAGAACTCCAGAAAGAGCAACTGTGACGCCTGTAAGTCTCCAGTGTGGCTACACTCCACAAAGGTGATTGTATGAGCAGCCTGTTGTCCATCAAGCGGCTTAGCAGCTACGGGATATGCTACCAATGTCCCAAAAGGTGTGTTCCACAGCAGGCTTCAGTTTGGGGAGCTCCTCAAAGGACGCTGTAAATAGCTATTTATGCTTATTGTAACAAACTGGTATTTGAATTGTTTGAATAAACCGGCTAATAGCAACATCCTCAAGTCTCTGTTTGTTTAGCTGACAGCTCAGTGGCTGTGTATGGATTATGACTAAGGTGTAAAGATTTGTCTTGGTGTCTCTACAACCTGGTCCTGGGTGATGTTTCCTCTAATCCCCCCCGAGCGGAGCAGTTCACGTCCTGAGCAGAATGTAACTGCTGTGATCTTAAAATGGGCAAGGGGGAGTGCAAGACCCTGTGTGGCTCCTGATTGCTGCTGAGCGGGGCCTCCTGTGTTAATGAGCGGCCGCTCATGCGCACAGCTTAGAGAGAATGGTGGTCCTGGGTACACGGACACCCAAAAGGCCAGTGGCTCTGGAACCCATGATCTTTTGTCATGGCTCAAGAAAGATGACATTATGCATTAACCAAGAAAAAAAAAGCCATAGCAAAAGAAAAAGAGATGCCATAATGCATTAGCCAGAAAAAAGCCGTAGCAACAATACAAAGTAAAATGGAAATCTCCAATAAGATAAAATTTGAAAAATAATAAAATAATAAAGAATTTGACATTTTAACCTCTACGAAATGACCCCTGGTCATTATTAAAATTATGTATAATAATAAGAAAGGGAGACCATACAGTCCAGGAATAAATTACAAATGACAAGTGACCCAGGGTGGAGCAGTCATGGGTCAGATAGATTTTGGTCAGCACACCCCGTCATCTTTTTATCCTTTATGATGGCAACTGCAAATCATAAAAGAACATAAGAGAAGCCCATGTTGGATCAGGCCAATGGCCCATCCAGCCCAACACTGTGTCACACAGTGGCCAAAACCCAGGTGCCATCAGGAGGTCCACCAGTGGGGCTTCAGAAGTTCTTCCACTGTTGCCCCCGCAAGCACCAAGAATACAGAGCATCACAGCCCCAGACATAGGGTTCCATCTGGACCTCCATCTGGACCTCTGCTCCATTTGTTTATCCAATCCTCTCTTGAAGCTGCCTATACCTGTACCTGCTGCCACTTCTTGCCATTTGGAAATAATGAATTTGTCTCTATCTACCAATAATATGACTTATTTCTCTTGATCTGACCTTCCTGGGAAGCAGGATATTGTGGTCAGCACAAGTCTATTATGTTCAGCCTTCTATTTTGGACACCGGAATGTGACGTAAGACAAATCCTCAACAGACTTTTGATCACAGGAGCAGAGTCTTTTCCTGTATGGGATCCCATGAAAACAGTCTTCCAAGACCATGAGTGGTCTAATATCTAAGCATGCCTTGGTCAAGGCTTTTCTCTATTTGCAATTCCTTAATCAGTAACATACGCTGGAAGAGTCAGGGGAGAGCGAGATAGCTGTCTATAAAGTACAGATGTTCTCAAAGGGCCTTCGAGACATATACTGGTTGAACACTCTGGTCTATCAATCTTTGTTTTATGAGTAGTTTGGCAAAATAGAATCCAAGGGTCCTCCAAGGCTAGCCACTCATCTCAATACAAATCTGCACCATGATGAATTATCCTTCATCTCTTCTTACGCCAAAGTCACAAGGCCTGGGGATGTGCCGTTGATGATATCTCATGTGCACAAATGCCCAGCTGTGATGGGACAAAGCACAGGTGGGCAGGGAGAGGCAGCTGCAAGCAGGATACCTGTTGGTGATCTGGTGAGAAGAGAAATCTGGTTTAGGATTAGGGCTGCCAACTCCAGCGTGGGAAATTCCTGGAGATTTGGGAGATGTGCGGGGAGGGTGGAGTCC